CTGGCCCCTTACAGCGATGTGCCTTTACTACAGAAATTAAGTTGTTCTGCTTAGAGGGTGCAGGATACCTTYTGTTTAAAGTAGGGTCACTCACAGAAACCCAAGCCTCCGACGGTTTATAGTATTCATGTGGCCACACCCTCAGTTGTRTTTAATTACCTGAAGCATTACCTCATGAAACTGTTGCAGCAACCAGAACTACCGCAAAGAGATAGCAAAACTTACCCGTCTGTGCAGACAGTCTGACAGAACACTGAGAACTTACATGCAAAGCAGTGAATCACTTACATAGCTCCATGCGTTTGTCCCACAAACACTTTTAGTCACCGTACTTTTTCAAATCAGTATCACAGCTGAAGCAGCTTAAGACGACAAAAAATAAAACCCACAACCCCAGAACTGACCAGTGAAGTGTTAAATTTGTAATTTCAAGATATCTGATGGTTCATGTACACAATGAAGCTATCTGACAACAAACCTCTACCTGCAAACTTACACGACGTTCCAAGAGATGCTCGGCTGCTGAGCTACAGCTTACAACCCGAGACAGAAACAGAGAAMAGTCAAGGTTGGAAGAGACCTTTAAGATCAAGTCCAATCATTCACCGACTGYATCCCTTAAACCACTAAACCAAAACGCTCAGTGCCAGATCCAGACACATCGCAAACACCTTTRGGGATGGTGACTCCACCAGCTCCCTATTCCAGTGCCTGACCACCCTAACTATTCCATAAAAACGACACTGACAGCAGGCAATAGATCACAGAAAACTGCATCCACAGGAAAAAAAAACCCAAACCAGTCACACTCATATACATACCCCTAATAGGCACAGTGAATGGCACCGATGAAGCCAGAGAACGCTCGGGGCAGATGTTCCCGAGGATGTCAGGAGGACTTTGAGCGGGCAGACACTGAGCGATGCCGCAATGCCGGGGCAGGACGCCCTGGCACAGGACAGCCACGAGCAAAGCGCACATTTAAACTTTAAAAGCGCCATCCCGGTGCTCGGGGTGGCTCCGAGAGCAGCCGGGCTACCCAGGCTCTGTTCCTGTTTCTCCGCAGCAACCCCCGGAGTCGGGGGTTTACCCCCACAACGCGAAAAGACAACAGCGAAACGGAGAACCCCGACCCTTTTCCTTCCTCTGCCACCCCGCAGCACGACAAGCAGCAGAAAACAAATTTAAACTAGAAAAAGAAAGAGACTTAACGGGTAAGACGGATGCCGCGGAGACGTCGGAGCCGGGCGGAGCGGCCGAGCCAAGTGACAGCCGGCAGCTCCTCGGGCCGGACCCGCCCCGGCCCCACCTCGCCCGACACCCCGGCGGGGCGGCACCGCCGGCCGAGCGCGGCCTGGGGCGGCGGCGCGGGCCGCTCCCGCCCTCTCCTCACCTGGTGGACGTCCGCTGCGGCGGCGGCAGGTCGCGGCACATGCCGCGGAGGGCGGGCGGAGGCAGGGCGGCCCGAGCGCGGTGCGCGGCCCCTCAGCGGCCCCTCAGCGCCGCCATTACCGGCCCGCAACTGACACGGAGCGGCGGCGGCGGCGGCGGTGGCGCACCGGCAACTCTCGCGAGAACCGGCCCGCCGCCGACCTTCTCAGCATGGCGCCGTCCCGCCGGGCCCGCTCGGCGCCGGCCGCCATCTTGGGTGTGGCGCGGTCGCCGTGCCCACCGTCAGCCTCACAGGAGCCGCGCTCAGCAGTATTTTCCTCGAAGCTTTTATTTTTTTCCCCTCACAGTTCTACAGGCCTGGCCTGCCGGGTCAGTCCCCTTGCGTTTTATATGCAGAGCCCTGGGTGTTGGTGCGAGCCCAGTACTTGGCAATGCTAATTAAACCCGGCGCTGATGTTGGCATTCCTGAAGCGGCTCCAGCCGAAACTAGGGCACCACTTTTTAGTCATTTGTGTTCATAGCTAAGTCGTCTCTAGAAAAATAATTCCTTTTTTTTTTTTTTTTTT